CAACAACAACAGCCACAGCAATCGCAGCAGCAGCAACTCTTGCAAATGTGCGCGATCTTGATGATTAGGTGCGACTGACAGCGTATTATTCACGCAGTCACTTTGCCACAAGAGCAACAAAAGCCGCAGCGCACTGCACTTAAATAATTTGATGAAAAGCAACCAAAACAAGTAAAGCAAAAAACAATTATAAATTGCAAAGCGTGCGTATGGCAAAGGCCAAGCGAACTTCGAAGATTGCATCGAAATGTGTCTAAAGCCGTTCGAACTGTGCACCGCTCGGGCCTAAACTAGTGGCCCCAGCCCCTTAACGCCGGCCAGCCCGCACCTGCCGCGGAGTCGAGCTTAGGCAGGCTTAGCCACAACTAAATCGAAACTGAAATCGCACTGCGATATGGTAGTACATAGAAGCCTGCACCTCGGCCTTGGGCATAGACGCGTTTTTGAATGTAGTGCGTATTCATTCATAACACGAGTACTCATACTCACAGTCATGCGTCGACTTCGAGTCGTAGTCGCAGCCGTACTCACTCGCCGCTCGAGTGGCAATTTGTTATTCTTATTCGTGTTTTTGTGTATCTTTCGTTCTAAGCACAACAAGTTCAGCTGCGCTGCTCTGCCACTACAGATTCAGCTCCAGTTCCAGCCTGACAGCTCGAGCTGACAGCTTGGCTCATGACTCAACAGAATGCGAATCACTTTTACTTTTAGCCAAATGCTCATCTAACTGAACTTTAATGGCGATCGACAGCGAGCTAGAGAGTTGCCCATTGGCCAGAGCCAATGCCCGAGTGTCAGAGTCTCTGAGTGTCTGAGTAACTGAGTATTTGAGTGCAACTCAGCTGTCTGACAAATTGCTTGCATCCGCTGCAAGTTGTTACTGGCGTTAACCAGCATTGTGCAAGAGGCAAAATGCAGACGCCATGGCAAAGGGTAAACATTGCCCAACCCAGAAACGAGGCAGCAACAAGTGCTCAACTTGAAGGCTTGACATTTAATGTCTAGCGTTCACATGATCTTCACAATGAGCAGATGCTTGGGTCTATAATGAAACTGTATCTGTCAACTGATCACAAAGTGAAAGAGAGATCCATCAATGGGACGTGGAGTGCTCTTCATATATGTATATATGCGTATTTCTACTCTCTGCTTTTATTTACTGGCTTACATTGTAAATTTGGTTAGCTGGTAAATCTGTTTTATCATGGAATTACCTTATAGTATATGTGATTAAAATACAAGCTCGACGAGATATTAAACGAAAATATTTATGACCTCGTTAAGCAGATTTAATTTTGTTAATGTTCTTTAGAATGCGATGCCAAGTGTTATTGCAATTAGTTATCTGCAATAAAGATTTAAATCATTTAATGTGTGTAATTACTTGAATAAATATATTTATACATATATTTGGAGGGATTACAGAAAGAGAAATTCCCTGCATTTTATATTATAGTAGAGATATACACGAAGATACATAGATACGTGGATACATAGATACATAGATACATAGATACATAGTTACATAGATACATAGATACATAGATACATAGATACATAGATACATAGATACATAGATACATAGATACATAGATGCATAGATGCATAGATACATAGATGCATAGATGCATAGATACATAGATACATAGATACATAGATACATAGATACATAGATACATAGATGCATAGATGCATAGATACATAGATACATAGACACACAGATGCAATTTTTTAGTATTTCCCATAACAAATTTCCAATATTTAATTCTTTACTCTTTTTGCACTTTGCAGGGCCTTGGACACATTAGTGGTTGCCACATCAATCCGGCCGTCACCATCGGCTTCTTGATCGTCGGCGAGATGAGCATCCTGAAGGCCGCCTTCTACATAATCGTTCAGTGCGTGGGCGCCATTGCCGGAGCAGCTGTCATCCGGGCAGCTCTCAGCGGAATACTAACCACCGGACTCGGCGTTTCCTCATTCAATGCCTCGCTGGATGTGGGTCAGGTGGTGTTGATTGAGGCGCTGATCACGTTCATTCTGGTGTTTGTGGTCAAGGCCGTGTCCGATCCGGGTCGCCAGGACATCAAGGGATCGGCTCCATTGGCTGTCGGCCTGTCCATTGCAGCGGGACATTTGTGTGCGGTAGGTGAAGAGTGAATACGAGTAAAAGGTTCGCATGTGAAGAGATTTCATTCCACAGATTAATCTCACTGGCGCCAGCATGAATCCAGCTCGCTCCTTCGGACCAGCCGTCGTCCAGGGCATGTGGACCGACCACTGGGTCTACTGGGTGGGACCCATTGTGGGCGGCATTGTTGCTGCCATCATCTACAAGTTCATCTTCAAAGTGCGCAAGGGCGACGATGAAGCCAACTCTTACGACTTCTAAGGCCACTCAACTATCTCTCTGCCTTTCTCTCTCTCCCTTTCTCTCCCTTTCTCTCCCTCTGTCTCCTTCTCTCTATCCAATCATAATTGTCTCTTTGTTCCCACGGGAACAGTTTCACGATCTTGTTGTTGTATTGGCACATGTGTGTGAGTTGCTTATGCACATTCGTCTTTGCCTCACTGAGAATCCATCGAATTCGTTTCCACTTAGATTAGCTCAACGAGAGCCTCACAATGCAAATTGCATCATTTTTATTTGTTAAAAAATAAAAATCGCTTTGTTTTAGTCGTACTAACACCTAAACTGTATTGAATATTCTATGTTTAGAGCATAAGATAAGTAAAATTCGCATTAATTGGCCTTAGCTACACCACCTGCAGCACAGATTCGGGACTCGAAATGCGATTTGCTAAGCCACAACACCGAATTATTTGTTACAAATTGTTATTGTGTCTAAGTAAATAATTATCCAGCACAAATGAACATATTTCATAAATTACGAATTATATGTGTAATAAAAAATATTTAAAAATCAAAATATTCAATGTGTTTTATTTGGAACATTATAAATGAAGAGCAGAGATGTAAAAGCAAACTAGGTAAAATCGGGAAATTTCCATGTACTGTTTAGACATTTTATAAAAGACATTAAATATTTCCCTCCTTTGTAGATCAGCTTAGAAAAATATAATTTAAATGCAATGGGATTTCTTTATTCTAATTCGATCGAGTTATTGTTTTTAGTCATACTAAATCTAATTTAAATACAATTTCGTAAGCGTAAACAGTTAAAACATTTTTTCGTGCTCCCAAATGATAATAATCAGATAATAATTATGGCCAGGTGCCTTTGCTTATTTAATAATGTCTATTTTTAGGCACGCGGTTTACCTCAAATTATAAATACAGAAGATTTTCCTGAAATTACGAAATACTTGTTGCATACCTTTAGGCCGGTGGCGAATATTAAAATGTTACGAAAATTCTAGCAATTTAGCCGTGCTTAACTGATTTGTGAGCAACTGGATATTATGCTCAGCTTAAAGGGTTCGGCTGAGTTCATTCTCCTTTAACAAGCCCAAATGCACTATATTTAATGACTTAATATAACAAGAGTAAATGACAAAATAAACAATATGTAACTTCCTTTTTTTTTATTCACAATGCAAGTGAATGTGAGTAAAGTGAATGTCCCTCGGGGAGTGTACGTGCTAATTGAAGTTCAATAACAATCAGATTTGCATATGAGAGACTTCGCTTCGTTCATTCATGCAAAATGTGATTGAGCACAAAAGTTCTTTTGCGTCATCAGGCACTGCAGCATATGCGGGTGTTGTTGCCAAACAGCAGCAACAACAACAACAGCGAATACCAAAATTGAGTCCATTAAAAATGCGACGATAAATATATTACAAGGTAAGTCGCGCACGCGTGCTCATCCACCCGCAGTTGAGTAAATTAAGCGGTGTTCGTTTGCGGGTTTCACCACTGATAAGACTCAGCCGAGTTGCCCTCCACTGGCTGAGCGGGCAGTGGGCTGCTATTAGCAGCTGCGACATACACTACGAGAAATGTGCCACAGCATTGTTTTTATTTATTTACTTTTTTGCGATTTAAGCGAGCCGAAAACAAATTACTCATGCGTTTTCCACGAATCGCCTAAGTAAATTTAATACGGTTTTCGCAGCGGGCGCACTAGATGCTCGTCTCGGTAGTTCGACTGACGATCAGTCTGAAACGCAAGCAGCACGCGACAACACGAACTATTGATTCTTGCCATAATGACATTACAATTCAAGTTGAATTCAATATGCCTGCTCTGGCTATTGATCCAAGTGCACGTTCAAGTCCAAGTCCAGGCGCAAGATATTCCTGTCGAATTTCCTGAAGATTTTCCCACAACCACTGTTGAAGCTGTTACCGAGTTAGCGGAGACAACAACCACTGCTACAGAGCCTGCCCCAACAACAACTGATAAGCCTACAATGCCAACAACCACAACTGAAGCACCAACAGAAGCAACAACAATTCCCAGCACAGAGCCAGGGCCAGACACTACCACACCAACTTATCCTATTTATACGCCGCCCACATACGTTCCACACCATCCCAGCCGCCCAACATATGTTCCACAATTCCCACCGTGGCTGTGGGACTCGCATGAGAGCGGAGGTGGGCTGAAATGTTATCTGAAGGAGCAAGCCGAAAATAAATATGTTCGCTGGAGCTGTGGATGTAAGTAGAGCACAAATTATTGAAGGTCGGACTATATATATTAATATATGTATATATATATGTTTTTTCAATGTTACAGTGACCAGCTGGAAGCCCATAACAAGCTGTTATCGCTGCTGTTATTACGGTTACAGCGGCTATGCCGGCTGCAGCAAACTGAACGAGGGACGCTGCAGCAGTATAAGCTATTCCAGCTGGAGTATTTATTAAATAAATAATGGGAAATGTCTAATGAACTACTACTCTTACACGGGAAGGAATGGCAGCGAGGGAGTGAGATGGGGGATTGTATAAATGAATATATTAAATTTCTAATTGAGACAATTGAGGGCAATTTTTCAGCAATTACAAATAAATATTCATTAAATAGTAGTATTTTGTAACTTGAGTATTTTATTGAAAAGGCCATTAAATTCCATGCAATTGATATTGATCAGTTCAGGTTGTAGACATTGCCCAGATTAAGGAAGCAATCCTTCAGGTGCTGCTGGCACTCGCAAAAGTCGGGAAATGGGGGCGCCAACACCTCGTACATGATGCGCAGCAGATCGACAAACTTGTTGAGCGCCTTGGCATAGTCGCCGGTGTCGTAGAGCCGTTTGGCCGTGCGCGTCATCATCTCCGTGTCCTGCATGACCTTGAGGCCCTTCAGTATGTTCGTCAGCTCGCCGCAGGTGACGCACTTGATCATGAAGTCGTTGCAGCTGGGCGGCACCTCAATGACCGCCGTGCAGTTGTTGGGCGCCTCGCAACGGAAGCGAATGATGTCCCTGGGCAGGTCGTCGAACAGCGGCCAATTCTCCAGGCAGGCGTCGCAGTTGCACTCGAACCAGTACAGCTCCTTCAGCCTGGCCTGGCGATCTTCGCGCTTGTCCTGCGTGTAGATGGGCCCGTAGTTCTCATTGATGGGCAGCCCCGCCTCCACGGGTCGCACGGTGTTAATGTGGATGGTGTTGCCGCGAAAGTACCTGACCACGCCGGGGTCACATGAGTGATTGAACAGCGCAAGCGTCGGATAGATGGCGCCGCCAATGAAGATCGACTTCTCCCTGCCCTCGGCCGCATATTTATGCAGCTCGGCCACCTCGTGCGTGTTGAACTGAATGAACTGCAGGCAGCGCAGCAGCAGACCGCCAATGGCGCTCACCTGCTCCGACTTCGGCTCGCTGCCAAAGTAGCCCGCCGCCTGCAGGCATCTGGTGAGAAAGCGCGCCATCAGCACATATTGAAAGAAGTTCGACGGGGGTCGCTCCTTCTGATGCCGCTCCAGATGTGCGACGCGTCGAAAGTCATCTTTGGGCAGACTGCAAACCAAAAGAGGAAATCAGAAATCACCGAGCAAATAGCAAGTAACAAAATGACAAACCTCAAGAGCTGCTCCAGTGAGAGCTCCTCGTCCAGACTGGCTCTCAGCTGCATAAAGTAGTCCAGCGGCTTGCTGGCAATGATGCGCAGCGCCATGTGATTGTTGATCGAGGCACCGGAGCGCCAGATCACTGGCAAAAGTCCACATTCGAATTTGTGGTACTTGGCGGCGGCCTTCTGCTGGCACTGCTCCGAGCAGTAGATGACGTCCGAGCAACCCGGACAAGACACAGGCACCACAGTGCTGCAAATAGTTATCAGTGGAGCATAAGAGTTGTAAAGATAACAATTGAATAAACAAAGACATTAAAAATTGAAATAAATAAAATATAAGTGTATGAATGAAATCAAAAAATACAAAATATTACAGATAAAAAAAAAATTTATTTAAATACAAAATATCACTTGTTAAAATATTACTGATAAATATTTGTTAAATATTACTTATTTGTATAATTAACAATTTAGTTAAAAGTATTTAATTTCGCATTTATGTATTAATTATTTTCATTTAGTCAATGTATTTAAAAGTTTAATTCTTTTTAATCCTGCTACCTCTCCCTCTACTTTAGTATCCAGTCTTTTGCTCTATGTTCCAAATGGCTCTACTTAAGGCTCCATAAGGCCCACAGTAGGTCTGGAATTTTTTACTTATTTGCTGAAGACCCTAGGCAAAGACTGAGAGACATAGTTCTATTTTTGGTCTACTTGAAAAAATATTGTCTTTCATAAAAGTTTTTGATAAATACTTATATTACCTTTACATTATATTATACCTGCTTAACAGCCAGCTGATGTGAGTATGTCATATATATAATTCATGAATTCACCTACAAACACCAATAACTTGTGCATGCATTTAAGATAAGCAAAAATGTAAAATCTACAATCTAAATCAGCTTTAAATTCGAATAACTCTCTCATTATTGGCAGCTTTAACATATATACTATATAATTTGCTTACTATATGATGACTAACTTAACTAAAGTAATCAGCGAACAATAAGATTCGCAGAAGGTGAAATATGAGTAAGCCATATTGTTGGTGTATATCTCTCAGGGTCTAAATATTGATGTATATCACATTTCCCATTATTTGTATTTACTAGTCATTAGTAGTAGTCAAAGCTACTAATATTAAAATATTTTTAGTATTAATGAAGAATTTAGCCTCACTAAAAATATTATATATATTTTGCGTTATTTATATTATTTTATAAACAAGAGAGTTTTCTATATATTCTATATTTATTTATATGATATGTGATTTTGTCCGTAGTTTTTTCTCATTTTAATATAATCAATATTATATTTCAATAGATTTTCTTTGACCTTTCCCTAAATTTCCTATAAATATCCCTATGAATATGGACCTACATTAAACATTGATCATCAGCCACTTCACACCTTCCCATCAATTTCTATCTCATCTCTCACTTACCGCATAAAGCAGAATTCGCAGTGAGTCTGCGCGTATTTCTCGAGCAGCACAGCTACATAGGGATGCTCGACTAGCAGCTCCTGGCCCACCTGCACATCGGACGCAGCGCGTGCAAATCTGCCCTCCTGCGGGTTCTGATCGATACGAACCAGATCGCTAACAAACTCCTTTTCGTAGGGCAGCGTTTGAGCCTGCTCCAGAGTTGGAGTGGAGGATTTGGCTTCCTTCAGCTTCTGCTGCTTGGCGGCTTGCTTGGCTGTGCGCGGATCGTTCTCCAGCATCTTGATCATGGTCATGGCATCCAGATGCAGCTTGGATCGCCTGTCAGCGGGCAACGTGGAGTCATCCGTGGCCGTGATGCATTTTCTAGATAATCAATTGAGATATTAGTCAAAATCTTTTCAAATTTCCAACTTCACCTACTTTAAGGCGTTGATCGTGCGCGGATAGTCCTTCAGAGCCATATAACAGCGCGCCTGGCGCTCATATAGCTTGTAGACGAGCTCCTTGGGATACTCCAGCTCCAGGGCGCGTCTGATGTCCACCAGGCACTCGCTGTGCTTCTGCATGTGATACAAAGTGGCCGAGCGGTTGGCCAGTGCAATAGAACGCTCCGCCACTAGAATATGTACAAGTATAACAGTTATTTATATAGTATAAGAGTTCACTTTATAGTATAAGACTTTCACTCACGCTTGTCATGTGGCAACGTCACATAGCATCTGCTGTAGAGCAACATGGCCTCCAGCCATTTCTTCTGCTTGAAGGCCGTCGTGGCTCGCTCCTTCAGCTCTGCTGCAACAGTTGCATTCTTTCCATTGAATTCCCGCTGCACTTGCAGGTCCGCATCACCGTCACGCACCCAGGGCAGCTGGTCCACATAGGCCACGCGCTCGTCATCTGTGCCGCATGCGGATAACTTGGCTATGTCCGCCTCGCAGCTGGCGCCACCTGCTTCGCGCAGCTTCAGATAGTACTCGGCAAAGAAGCCCTTCTTCTGGCTAAGTGGCATTTTCATGGCGTTAACACAATATTTAATTAAAAATCAGCTATCAAATCTCAAATTATGCAAGTAGTGAAAATTTTAGGACCGCTTCTGTCGCCGCTGAATACTGCACTCGAACTGAATGGCCTACAACGTGTGGTGGTATCCAGACAATCGGTCGCGGGCCTTTTATTTTTAGATCGAAGAAGCATTTCAGAGCTATTCAGAGCAGCTGAGAATGAAATCTATTGCGAGATACGCGAGAGAGCGTATAGCTTGAAATTTGTTTACAAACAAATTTTCGAAATTTCTTCTGACACTCTTCTTTTTCGATTTTCACATAGCCGGCAACGCCGCGCAACGACTGAATACATAGAAAGCGTCGGCAGTGGAATTTGAACTTCGACTAGCAGCACAGTTGTTCATACACGAAAACACAGTTAAGTTTATTAAAAGAACTTCCTATATTTAGGTGACGAATGAAAGTCAATTATGGCGGTGAGCACTCTCTTTACATGATGTGAGTTGTCTGACGCACATGCCCCATTCGCCTCTTTAGCTCAGTGGCAGAGCACTGGTCTTGTAAACCAGGGGTCGTGAGTTCAATCCTCACAGGAGGCAATCTTTTTAAAAGTTCTGATAAGTGTTTATTAATTTTTTACTTTTATATTAAAAGTTAAACTAACAAAAAAAAAATCGAATTTTATTAAAATGGCGCTATTGTCTATTAATATATTCAGCACTTTTATGGTTGTATTTCACGCACTAATGAAAACTTTGCATGATTAAAATAACTAATAATTTAAAATGAATATTATTTTAAATATTAAAGTATATTAAATGTTTAATTATATTTTATTTAATAATAATAATAATATTTTTATTTTATAATACAACAATCAAATTAATAATTATGTTTACAATAAATATAATAAGTTTAGTATTGTTTGATTGAGGGAGACTATATTAAAACATTGGAAAGATCTAGAAGCATATGAGTAAATTGCTCATTTTCAATTAATAAAATAAAATACACTAAAATATGATAACAAACAATGCGAAAAAGTTAAATATAGTATTTATAGCTATTAATAAGCATTTTTAACTTAAATGTAGCCAATTGAACTATAATATTCATTTTATATAATTAATTGTATTTTAAAACAAATAATTTTAATATTTAAATCATAAAGATAATTTATATTTTACAATTATTTATCAATTATAAATAAATAAATAATAAAAAATAAATCTAGTTTCGGAGTTGCCTCCTGTGAGGATTGAACTCACGACCCCTGGTTTACAAGACCAGTGCTCTGCCACTGAGCTAAAGAGGCATGAGCAACGCGCCACGCTAAAACCTATAATAATATTTGAGCAAGCTACGGCGTTTGTTGTTGCGTGCGTATTTTGTTGTTCGGGGGCTGTTTGAACAGTTGGCAGCTTGCTTGCCTATCTGACTGCCTGGCTGTACGAGGCGTAGTGCCATTAGGGAATTAGCCAATTTAAAGACGTGTTAATGCTATCTGCAATTAATGCCGAGCCAAGTGTTATCTAGCATCAGCCAATTGCCTTGGAAATGGAGCCACCACCACCAGCTGTTGTGCTGTCGAGCTGGTGAGCTGCTACTTCTGCTGTCTACATTTGTTTGTTCGACTAATTAAGACAAGTTGGTCCCAGAAATGTTCCAAATGTCTGCAATGTGTAAGTGTGTACTTTCAAGCAGCAATTTGTTATGGTAACTTGTAAAGAAGAACGCGACTCTAGCTGGGCCTATTCTATTCTATCTGTAACTGTGACGTGGGAAACCTAACTGAAGTTTGAGCAGTTCTACAAACTTTGACTTGATTGTGTAAATGTTGATGTTTCTATGAAAGAAATTGCAGCGTATTGTAATTACATACAGAAATATTTTATGAATTTTCGTTTTAATTAATGTGTAATGTATTAAAGTTTTCTTTAATATAGAAGTAAAATGTAACTCAATTAGTTTTAACATTTGACAAATTCATAGTAATATAAAAATAAATATTCTGAGTATTATGATTATTTAAAAAAAAATATATAATATAATATTAAAAATAATAATATAACTAATAAAATTTGACATAATTCTTTACATAGTTTTCCAATGAAAAAAAAAAATTAAAATTAAAAATTCATTCTTTAGCTCTACGTACATTCAGGTAACTACCTCCACAACTGTACTTTAAGGCCATAAAGGCATATGAAAAGCATTTAATTTCGGAGCTATTGTAGTTGCAAGCATAATATGCAGTCTGCTCGCATATCGAGTTACGATGCGACAGCCCTTTCGCTATTGAAGCTGGATGCGTTATGCAAATTTGGCGTGTCGCATAAAAGGAGAAATGCGTAAATTACAGTGTCAACATTACAACGCCCACTTTCGCTTTTTTTTTTTTTCTTCCTTTCGGGGTGGTAGACCGCTGTGAAAATGCATTATGCACAATGGGAACGCGATATCGAGACCGTGAACTTGCCTGAAAAGAGGACGCAGCCTAAGGGCGACTGCGCGAATGGCCATGGATGATGGCTGTATGGTAATTTCATAAGCTGTTGAATCGCAGCATTGACTTTCGCATTGTAACCCTTTACAGCGATTGTCAGTGTTGGAAAACGATCGCAAGGGTGGCTGTTGTCAGGCGAATGGGCAACTGGACAGCATGTCAGAAGCCCTTGCTCGAGTCATCATCAATCAAAAGGGGCCTGATGAAGCACTACAATTCTATGTAAGTCGCAAATAAACGATGCTTACACCAAATCCGACAGCTGTCACTTGCAGTTACTGTTGCAGTTGTCGTTGTCGTTGTCGTTGTCGTGTTGTTGTTGTACAGTACAGTCAGTTGGCCACTCAAAGGATGCGTCCCGTTAATCACTGTTACAAGTCTGATTGAACCACGCTCCATTATCAATCGAGTTCCCGCTCTTTATGGCCTGTCATTCAAGCGCAAAATATTTATCACTCTCAACAGCAGCAGCAGCAGCAGCAGTCGTCATACCCATTGCCAGTTCCCCTCCCTCTTCAGCTACCCCTAATTGTAGTGCATTGTGCCCGATTGTGTATGTGAGCTGCGATGTCTTTCCCACACTGATGATTATTATACAGATGTGTATATGCAAATTCATGTGGAATAAATGACCCAACTACCCACTCTCTAAATACTTCTGGACCCTAACTAAATGCACTCGAGTGCCGTCAGTTAATTACAGTTTTTACTACGTTTTCGATTCTTGATTGTGCAAAAATTTCATTAAAGTTCCGTTGCAATTGAAAAACTGCACTATTTATACCTTGGCAATGTGACAAATAGGGTATATTGACTGAAATTGCGTAGTTGTTAAGTACTATTGAGACTTTTAATCTGCTTATATAAATTCCTCTCTAAGAGTCTTTTCGCAGATCTCGAGAACTACAAAAGCTAGCGACTTGCAATTTTAAATGATTTTTCTTAAATAGCCAAACTACTGAAATTTTCATATTTTTCTTTAATATGCCAATAAATACTGATACAGAGACCGCATTTTTTTTTTTTTTTATTTGAACAAATTATATATTGTATTTCTTAACATTCATAGCTAATTTCTTAATTCCCTTAAGAACCTAATATGTATGGTAAAATCTTGTTACGTGGGCTATTCCCTTAGGGTATTTGCTTGTCATAAACTCTCCACACGCCCAGCTGCATTCCTATTTGTCTCCGTTTGTTATTGTTATTGTGCAACGGACTTCCTGTATTCAGAGCACTCTATTGTGGCTTCAATGGGTATGGACTCCGCCCAGAGACAGGCAACGCAAACAAATGGACGGCAGACAAAGCAATTAAAGGCCTCAACTAAATGGTTAAATCGTATTGCAACATAATTAAAACATTTTTAGCCAATCCAGTCGAAATCTCGTACGTAAAATGTCACTCATTGTGGGTGTTGAGCTATGGTTGAGCTCTTGACATTTAAGCCGTCATAAATAATTTATAACCATTTGGGGCCAGCCATTGTGTGTGGCTTAGCCCGAAGCCAAGAAAAAAGAAACACTTTTAGCATGTTTTATGGCTCTTGTACATATATGTAAAATGTATTTGTGAAGCCGACAAACGAGTTTCGTTGCCCCTCCCCTCGGGCAATGCAAATTTAATTGCGCTTCTTAATTAATTTAAAACGATCATTTAAATAAATTTCGAGTTCAAGTTGAAATCTCTGTTGACACACAGACATGTTCGCATTATTCAAATTCAATTCGAATCACTTTGCTGACATTGAATAGACATCGCAACACACAATCGAAAACAACTCAATTGCATCTCAATGGACTTAAGCTGAGAAATCCATTTTAATGGCTCAGCCCTGAAGCCGATTTCGGATTCGAGTTCGATCCGCTTAAGCTGAGCTAACTGCTGTTGCCTATGATTTATTAGCTTGAGAGCTTGATCTATTATGATTATACCCAATTATCTTTAATTCCTTTTTCTATATCATGGTTTTTCTGTATACAACAGAAATACATAATAAATATTTCTAGAACAGTTTAAAGTGTGTTCTTAATAATCATTAGCTAATGTTTATTCATATATTATAGTAGAATAACATTTGTTGAATACTTATCCATATATGTTGTATATGACAACTGATCTGATTAGTCCACTTGTCTATAAATGGGTTTCTATACGATTTTTATGAGCAGTTCTAACTCAGTCAATAATCAAATGTTTAATTCATGGTTCCAATGACTATGCATACAATCAACCTAAGATTAAACAATCTGATAAATTTGTTGAACCATTGTTATTATTAAAACCAAAATAGTTATAAAATCTCTCTTTTTTGGGTCGCTTGACGAAATGAAAAGAATAGATAGATCATGACCTACTACCAATCAGAAAAAGTCTTAGAGACCTGAAACAGTCAACTCCCGAGATCTATCTATACCTACATATATTTTAAGAGTAAGAGTAGATATTTTCGGCAGCTTGTAATCGGTTATACCTGACAATAGCCTTGCTCCATGTTATCTCCACATTTTACAAGCGTATGCCCATTCATTTTCTATCGGCTTATCATGGTTTATTAACATATATAACGTTATTATATACCCATTGTAAAGCACTATAAAACATAATAGAGAAACCTAAAATGGAT